GTCCTGAGACCACAGTACTGAGGCTCCTATGTAGCCCCAATAAACGGAGCTGGTAAGCTCTCAAGAAGAACCTGGTGGAAGAAAAAATAAACCAAGTACCGCTGAGACTTAATTTAGGGCATATTCTGCCCAGAAGGAATGGCATCAGAGAATAAAACTCTTTTTTTTTTCTGGTTGAGGCACTTATTTGTCCTGAGAAGACTCCTGCTTTGGCCAGCGTTGCAGCTCCTGGAGGCAGCAGCCAGATCTCCACACTGGGACAGGCCAGCAGCTTGTAGAGGCACTTATTAAAGGACGTGCTTCAAGCCATCATCACAAGTCACATCAAAGGCAGCACGTTGCAGCTGCTTGGCTTTCAAAGACCTCTGAAGCTCTCCAAAACTGCAAGTAGAAGATGCCCCAGGAGGGAAGGTGGTACCCTGCTGATGGAGGACCATGTCTGTCTGGTGGCAGGGGCACCATGGGGACATTCTTTGTGGTCAGCATTAACATCCCACCACCTCCTGCCATACCCTGCCAACGAGGCAGTCACCCCAATGCTCACCCAAAGTGACGGTGCAGCAATTTCAGGGTCACTCCAGTGACCCAGACAGGTCTGTCCCCTCTCCCAGCTCCCCCAGTCCTCGCTGTGGGCATCTAGAGTCACCCTTGGGGGTGGAAGTGAAGCATGGTGGCCTCAACTTGCTCCTCACGACAGCCCCTTGTGTGCCACAAGGGTGGGTGTCTCGAGGGTGATGACACCCCACGAGGGCACCCTCCGGCCCCACGGGCTCTGAGACCTCTTTGTGGGGACCTGCCACCCCAAAGCTGCTCATGGTGCCGAGGGAAGAGCTGCTCTGCAGATCCTTGAGGGCACAAGCGCCCAGGACTGGGCTGATGCTCACCATCCCAAGGGATAAATCCCCTCCTCCTCCTCCTCCCAAGCAGCTGGAGGAAGGCTGGGCTTCGTTGTCCCTTTGCACCAGGGCCAGGCGTGTCACTGTGGTTGTCCCCACACCAGGAGAGGTGGTTCCTCCTGCGGTCGCGCTGAAATACACAGAGGAGCCCTCGGCTGGATCTGGGGGGAAGCTGCTGAGAAAGGACATGGCTGAGTGAAAACCAGGCTCCTGCCCTGCTCCATCCTTCCATGT